AGCCCAACCAAAGCACAGCCCAAGGAACTACAGGCCTGAAGAACATCAGAACATGTTTGATGGCCATAAGCTGAATCCACTGGGTTTGCTCACCTTACTTAGAGGTCAGATCCAATGCAGCCGTACTTTAAATCATCCTGTAAGGCTTCAACAGGCAACCTCAAAACACAGCTGGTTTGGATTGTGCTTCTTTCTTCCCTGTCTTTTTGTTTTCCCTCAGAAGTGTTACATAGCTGGAGTTGGCCATGCGTGCTGTTTACAGCATTTCAGCTTGCTGCACATTAGAGGGATAATTCCCAGGATTTATATCTTTTCCAGCAGCACAGCAGCTGGAGAGTGACTTTTCCAGCACCTGTGGTCCCACCTTTCACCTCATCTGCTCTGACTGGGGGCTGCCAAGCCAGAGGGGCATCCTCAAACAATCTGCTCCTCTTGTTTCTCCCTGCATCTCCACGGGGTGATTTGGATCAACGAGCTGATCTGATGGAAAGCTAATCCACAAAAGCAAAACACTGATTTCCATAAAATCTGCTGGCAAGCAGCAGTGTGAGGGCACTGCTGGGCAGTGATTAGCAGGACTCCCTCTGGCAGCTCCTTGCATTTGCTGCAGATCGGGTGTAACCCAATCCCAAAACTGCTGGGAGAACAGACCACTTGTGCAGGCACCATCACAACAAAGCCCTGAATTTACAGCAGATATGCTGCACTAGAAAACACATTTTGGGATTTTCACCCTGCTTTTTCTTTGATGCAGTTTTTGTTTGTGAAAAAGTGCTGTGCAGGAGGATTTTACTCACTCTAAATAATAACAATAATAAAATAATAACAATAAAAATAAAATAAAAATACAAATTCCCAAACAACCATGCTCTGTATTGGCAGCGAAGTAAGAGACCTTGTACTTTGAGAACTGCTTAAGTCATCTGTAGCACTTCTCATCTGGCTTTCAAATATTCCCACCACCTCCTGCAAAAGGAAAAACTAAGTGCAGCTGGTGGGTATAAAACCAGTATTTTCCAAAGTTAAATGAACAACCATCAGAAAAGGAAGAAATATTTTCTAATGGTGAATCCACAGTGGAAAGTCTGGGATGGGAAACTGGAAAATAGAGGAAGTGGCTTGTAGGAAACTAACTGGGTTCGTGTGTACAGTGAACTCAAAGAGGATGGTGAGGAACATTCTGTTTTGATTTATGGATTGGGGTCAGAGTGAGAGTGGAAATATATTCTTGCATCACCAAAACATAAAGCAAGGGCACTTACACCCTCTACATGAAATTAGCATCTCTGTCATCACATTCATGCATAAACATACTTTCAATTAATGTCTCTAAAACAAAAGGAAATTAGTCCCACTGATTGCAAAGTGAGCCCATGGAGTTCTGACTTTTAAAAGTCTTAAGAAGACTTGAAGGTTTACACTCTATTAGCAAAACTGTACATTATTTCTAGTAGCGTTAGCGGTTCTTAACTGGAAATTTTCTTCAAATAGCAATAAGGTTTGTAAGTTTCAGAACCTGTAGAAATATCAGCTGGTTTCCAGGCAATTCAGTGGTTCCATAGACTGAATTTTGGCTTCTACAGTACAACGAAAATTTTATTTCAGGACCCAGAAACAGACAAAATGCAAGATTTAAAAGAAGTTGCTTTAAGAGAAAACTGGGATATCTGACTAGACTGTAAACAACCAGATTTTCCTATTTGAGAAAAGCATTGCTTTCAGCCTGAGAACTTCAGATTTGGATCAAGCCTGAGCTGCAGGTACAGAGGTTTCTGTTGCATTCTCCTACCCTGATTTCCTTACTAATGACACCGGGCATCTAATCAATGTTCTGTCCATCACCTGCTTTGAAAACCAGTAAATAATTTTGATGGCATTTGACAAAAAATTATTTCATAAGTTGGTAGATTCCAACAGGCAATCTGGAGGCTATGTGGCCAGGCCATGTCATGAGCGTTACCTAGCTGCCCAGAACCTGAGTCACAGCTTTTGAATTGCCCGGCAAGTCAGCAGTGGTGACAAACCTATAAACTGCTGGAACAGCGCATGACTTAGGAACAGGGAGGAGATGGATGGAGACAAAAGATGTTCCGGCATGGGCAAGGGCAGGAAATGTCAGAAGAAAGAACAAAATTGAGTGGTCTGGCCATTAAGTCAAGACCACAGGAAATCAGTCTTGCTAGGTCTGCAAAATTTTTCATGAGAAAAATGTACAAGTGCATTTCCTAGGCATGTCTTACTCACCTGCTTTATCAAGGGATAACATTAAGGTAAGTGCCTATTTGTTTTACTGAGTTGCTACATGAAAACCAGGGAAAACAAATGCTTGCTGAAAGCAGAGAAATATGCTGCGATCGAACACCAGCAATAACTGTTCTACAGGGCTCCACAGCAGCCAAACCAGGGCAGCACTGAGCATCCACTGCCCATCCAAACACTTGCCAAGATAGTAGCAGTCCTCTATTACATTTCTCAGCCTCCACAGCACTTTTGAAGCTGTGACCACCCAAGCAGAGGGAGCCCTCTGGGGCTCAGAACTGTGTGTAAATGTCTAGCCATGCCCTGCTAACACAGGCTGAAGAACTCATTGCCTTTGTACTCAACATGGTGGTGCCCTCCTCGTGTAACTGCCTCTCCAGCTCAAGTATCAGCTCTCCTTATCTTCTGTGTCCACTCCTCTCCAAGTTAACTCTATTATTCCACCAAGTTCTGTCATCCTTCAAATGCTAGCAAAAAGCATTTGTCACATTGACTTTATTACAAATCAAGAAAAAGGAGGCAAGATCCTAAGAACGGTTTTGCCCCTTCCACTCCTCACCCTCTCCAATTTGCTCTGGAAGAGCATGTGTAGTGCTGTACACAGAATGCTTTTTTCAGACTCATCTAAGCTCACTACTCAAATCTCCTTCCTATCCCAGAAAATGAAGTCCTTCACACAATTCTTAGAGATTTATGCAAAACTTAGCTCTTTGTGAAGGAGCACCCAGCTGTAAATACTGCATGAGGTCTCCAGGTAGTTTAGAATGAAGGTGACCTCTGCTGTGACAAAACTAATCCATTGTAAGAAATCATCATCAGAAAGAATTCACCTGCCTCTGGAGTAAATTATGCTTCTGCACTTCAGGCACAAATGGAAAAAGCTTCGGCTGGAGCAAAAAATCAGGAGGGCAAGCTGGCTGTAAACACCTTAATGAAGTACATGTTTGCATTCCTTTATGCTGCACATCAATAGCTGAGTCTTTTCAATACTGAATGCAGCCCTAAATCAAAGGCAAGCGGTCAAAGTACAATTGCTGCTCCTCAGCAGCTGTGGGTGAGGCAGAGGCACACCTTGTGGTACAACATGACCCACAGCTATTGCTGTGTGGGGCTTCAAGAACAAAGCTGGCACAGTCCTGTAACGTTCATGGGGTTTTAATGTGTGATTTGCACTAGTGCTGCCTTTGACCAGGGGCTAGCAATTTCTAGTGTCTTGAAAAAAGTGGAATTTTAAAATCACAAGTACAAGCTGTACTCGAGCTTACTGTGGCCACCTTAGTCCACATCAAACACAGATCTGGTTTGAGAAATACCCCCCTGTGGCAACTCCAAGTGGCTTAGTGTAACAATGCAAGAACAAATTTCACCCTGGATGTGGGGGAAGTATATTGCTAAGACAATAACACTAAGCAATTATATTGCTAAGAAACAAACGCTCTTTAATAACCCCCCCCAATACACACACTCAGCAGCCAATTTCTAGATCACCTTTAACTTCCCACAGCCATCCTGCTTCATTGCACTGAACTGTCCTCTCTCCTGGATTGGGGGCATCAGAAGTACAGCCAGATCAAAACTGGACAGCTTCCCCATAACAGTCTGTAAAAATCAGGATATAACCAGAAAAGCCTTGCCACTGCAGATTGTGAAGTCTGCTGTGATTTAGTGCATCACTTGAAATGTGGACCTTAAATATACATTCTTATCTCACGATGAATAGTTCAAAGTATATTTTATTGACACTCTTCAAATAGCCTGGAGAAAAGTAACAATATTTAATTAAAAGAAGGAAAAAGAAGATAGAAACCTGAAAAACTGCTAGCTTGCATTCAGTGTTAAAACTTGGAGGTATAAACAAAAGCCCGGAGTAAAAATATGAAGTATATTTCCAATCCTTCAGTGCAGAAAACCAGCAACAATGGTATTTACTCTACATTAGAAGTGTTTCCATGTTCAATTCCAGATATATACGTCTCTTCTATATATATTTCTGATAACTTATGTACAAATAAGATGTCCAACATCTGTTCTTTAATACAAGTATGTAATCTTCGTAACTGAAACATTACAACAGTTTGATCAAAAGTATAGAAAATCATTTTAATATCTTTTTTTTTATGGCAGTGTTTAAAAAACTCCATCCTTGAACCCAAATGACCTTAGAAGGACAAGTATTTCTTCACTGTAATAATACACTGCTCATTCAACATGCAAAGTGTTATTGCATACATGAGTCACATGAATTACAACTAAGTCTGAAGAAAATGTGCTGTACAGCCCATTCTAGCAAGTGCTAGCTGTAAATATCACAGAAGAAAGCATAGTACTACTGTATTTTTAAATAAAACACTACGAACTCAAGTATTGTCCTCGCACTAAGACTTTAAGGCAATTAAGAGCTGGAAAGCTTCAGTTTGGCATAGCTGCATCAAGCTCTCCCTCCTTTCCCAGTTATGAGAATTTGTTTTCAGAGGGCTGCTGATGAATTGTTGCTATACATTAAAACAACTCAGTATGAAGTGATAAGTCAGTAACAAAAGTTTAATATCCCCAAGTTTCACTGAGCTGATCAAATTTAAGCAACAGTTTATCCACCAGCCAAGTTTTCCAGAATGGATTTCTAAATTGTTATGAGAACAGAGAAAATATTCAATGTGTTATTCAATGTGTAACCTCTCAGTGTAACTGATTTTATGACTTCAATCCATTCTTGGGGTATTACAGAATTTAACAGATCTGACAGTCAAATAATATTCAGCTTTACAAAGGATAATTATTTGCAGTAAAAATTTGTATAAACATACACACAGTAAATCCAAGTCAACAGGCATTTCTTTATGGCTTCTTTCACTGAGGTACTGTTATTACATCCAGCAACAGGACACGAGTGTTCTATAAACACCACATTCATAAGCTGTACCAACTCATGACAAGTGGTAACAGACTGCAAATCCTGCTTCACTGCAGGACTACAGGAAAAGTGTCTTCCCTGCTATGTGGAGAGTCTCAGTGCAAGCTACAGAAAGCCTTAAAGGCAATGGGCATCAGTGGGGGAAAAGTTCCAATGAAAGTCTCCCTCTACTTAAAAGGAGAAAACATACTCATGGCAAATTGAAATCTCATTCATTAAAATTAAGAGCAAACATAAAATTCCAAGGCAGCAAGGGCATGTAGCACAGCAGCCATACATTAAGACTTGAAATGTGTCATTAAGCTCTTGCATCTGACCCTTGAGCTAAGTGCATGCACAGGCTCAGAGCAGCCAACCTGTGACCATGACACCACAAAGACCAACACTGACAAAGGGGAAAGGGCAAGCACACGACTTCTGTTGATCCAACAGCAGACAGAAAACCCCTGGCGACCACAAGAGTATTCCTCAGCTGTCAAAAGCTGACTTGTGAGTGCAGAGTTAGTTGCATCTTTCACTGTTTACATGTGGGGGAATTTGCAAATCACAGTACTCCACTCCCAGTATGGGGAAAGAGATGTTAAGATAGCATGCTTGTTGCCATATGCATTTATCATTCTACCTTTACAGCAGAAAGTATTCTTTTGCTGTTTTTCTTTTTTTTTTTTTTAACAGAGTGGCCATGTTGTTACTACAGCCAACACTCCCATTTAAATTACACCTATGCTAAAAATATGGTTCTGCAATATTTATTGTTAGAGTGAAATGGAAGTTCAAAACATGCTCAGTTAATTACAGCAACTAGTTCTTTCCAATCAAGGATTTTTAACCCCACAAACCCATTAAACAGTTTGCAGATGCTCAAGTTCCTTATATGAAGATACAACACAACATTTAAAACTCAGTGCTTAGCCACATACAATCCACACTGTAATCTATATACATGTTATAACATATCCCCACTTAGGTCAACAAATTCATCATCCCTCTTGACCAAGTCATCTTCATCTTCCAAGTCTTTCCAGGTGCTAGTGGGTAAAGCTGGTTTGACAGACTGTCTCTGCAGTAAAGCAAATGGAAACAAGGATGACAAACGGGCAGAATTCCTCAGCAAGGGAACAGAATGTACGTCTCCAGAAACAGCCTGACTGTGTTCTTCATCCATTTTTACCTGCAGGCTTTGCACTTCCTCCATCAAGTCCAAAATCCTGGCAGCTGTAGCTATTGTTCCACCGCCATGGAGCTGGGCCTCAGGAATCCATCGTAGGTAACGCTGTGCCCAGACTTTGATTTCGGGGCCGTCAATGCGCGGCAGCAGAAGACCGTGGTAGTCGACAGGTTTGCTATGCCAGCTATCATAAAACTCCCTGAAGCTGTTAGGGGGCTCATCTGAAGAATTTATGAACTTGCCAATTCTTTTACCCAGAATGTTTTTAAAAAAAAGATCTGTTTCCTCCCTGAAAAATCCTCTCTTCGTGGAAGGCTTTGCCTGTGTCAGTGGCAAAGAAAGTTGCCGTTGATGCTTTGAGAGGGAAAAAAGGCAAAATACTCAGATAAATATTAATACAATGGGACTTCAGAAAGCAGTTTTAAGAGGAAGAAAAACAAAGTCGTATTCAGAAACCTCTTGCAAGCAATAGTCACTTGACCTATATAGAGAAGCAGTGGTTTGTTTAAGTTGTTATTTTTCAATACATCAAATACTTTACAGAGCATACTGAGTGTTGCCACCTTCCTTCCCTGCTTACCAAAAGTAACACCAATAAAGCAATTGTCTTTGAAAAAGCCAAACCCTTTGCTTACATTTAAGTATTGCTAGTGTCCATGTTTAGTTTAAGCTAGTTAAAAATCAGAGAGCACTTTATTTATAGGTTTTTATCCAGTGGTCCCTCACTGCATCTCAGATAAATGCTATAGATCATACTGGCAGTGTCTCACATGAGAATGCTTTATACAGGACAGAATTTACCAATGAATTGCAATTCAAAGAGGCTACTCCAAGAATTTTTCCCTGAGTTTGAGCTACGTGCCAGTAATGAGGTGGTCCATCCATAATCCTCCATACTCCAGTCAGTTTTTTTGCTGTTGTTGATCCCCCTCCCTCTCCAAGTGCACACACACACTCCAGTTAAAATTAGGGAGGCAATCACAAACCTATGTATTTCAGTCAGGTACTCCATGGAACAACTAAATTAACTCCCTTCAAACACATCATTGCAACTCACCTGAATATTAAATCTCATGGCTTACCAACAGACTTGCATAGAAGTATGGAGAAAAAGAATCCCTAACTTGATGGCTATGAACTATAAAAGAGTTATTTACAATTCTGGTGCATGCAAACTGGGTTCTTAAATCCAGGTGGGTCTGAGGTATACGTGTATTTTGTCAATTTAAAAAAGTCTGCACCGATACTTTCACTGTGAGAACATTTGAAATAAGATGTGCAAAATATTTCTAGAACTGAAAAAACAGTTTAGCAGCACATATCTTACTTTGAACCGTGAAGTCTTCCGTTGACTTCTATCTGGTTTTGGTTTCTCTGAATAAAGAGGGTTGTTCAGGAAAGCCAGGGCCTTGGGGTCAAACTGCACAGACCAGTCCCACACAGTAAGGAATCTGAAAGGACCACTTTGTGTCTTGATGCTTTCCCCACTCTGCCAAAACAAACAGGTCACATTTAATACTGCCAGAAGGGAATTCTGACTAAGTCAAGGTGAAATAAAGAAACTGGCTTTTTAGAAAAAAGGCCACAGAGTTGCAACAACACTTTCGTTTTCTATGTGTTCAATAACTGAACAACAACAGTGCAATCAGACTTTCACAGATGAAAATAAAGTTAAATATTCTCAGAAAAAAAAGACATTTTGAAACTTGGACAAGAGACAGACAGTTGGATTCCTCAAACACAGGCAGCACATTACAATTCCAAACAGCAAAAGTTGGAACTGCAGTCATGCAGTGCTACCGGTCTAGATTTTGCGATCAGCAATTTATTTGTATGAAAGACAGTAATCTTCACTTTTTCCTTTAGTCTCTGTGCAGCCTTGCAGAGGATACTACCATTGCTCCCAGCTTCTTAGGCTAGAGAAGAGCATGAACCAAATATAAATCAACATTCAGGAAATGTTCATTTTGGAATACAACAGAATATACTATACAAGAATTTCATAGATAACTTATTCTGCCAGACAGCTGCATATTCCTTGTAGGTTAAGGAGCTCCAATTTCACTGAAGGGCACTAAACATGAAACTGCAGCTACATATTACAGGTAATGTATTCCTTCTGTCATCATAAACTCCTAAGTCCTGAACTTGCCTCCCTATTTCCAAAATTGCATTGTCACCCCTCAAGGCAGTTCAATAAGTAAGAAAAATGGTGCTGTTGGGAATTAGCTTTTTTTGAGTGTTCCTTGTTTGTTGGTCAAACTCATTCTTCAACACACTGCATCCACAAAATACCAAACCCTTACCTTATTAGTGTCTCTTTGATGTTGAGAGTTGAAGAAGAAAGTGCTAAAAATAGGCACATAGAGGCTGTCTGACAAGACAGTTAAGTAAGTTTCAGTGAACTCAAATGCTGGAGGATACTGTTGTACCAGCTGCCAAACACAATTTAGCAGGAGCAGAAAAACAGGAGCCTAAGTAAACAAAATATTTCATCAGTTTCAGAAAAAGTTAAAATTGTTCCACCATGCAAACTATGTATTTTATAGAATTGAGTGTCTCCAAATACAAATCTTAAGGCAAGAAGCCTGATTAACTACAGAACTGCTGCATGTACATTTGGCTGAAATTTGAGAAAGCATTATCTGAGCTATCCTCGGCCAATTATTGACAGAAGAGATGAGCACCTTCTACTCTGAATTTAAAGGTTGCCATTATGCAGTCTTCTAAAGGTGGCAAAGCAAAACTAGTTTATATCAATTCTTGATCAGAATTAGTCAGTTGACACCTATTACTTCCATTTGAATAGCAATCTAATCTAGTCCCAAAGCAAGACAGTAAAAAGTTGACCTCCAGATGTGACAGGAATAGGCTTGAGTTATTTCTATGGATGCTACTACCATTTAACACAGTTTCCAAGGGCACAGGATACATGACTTTCAAAAGACTCCAAGACTGGGAAATTTTTCATTTGTTCTCTTTAATAATAAAGCCATTGCTGACCTCTAAACAGCAAAACCAGTGACACTGTACAAACATCAACCCACAAAACAAAACACAAGATCCTCAGAGTAACTGGAACTTCTGGACTAACAGGTAAATCCCTCTTCACGCTGAGTAAGCTTATAAATAATGAGTAAGGAAAGCAATTTAAAAAAATATACCTCCTCTTTCTCACTTTTGCGTAAGTGGTTACAGCGATCCAAGAAGCTGTGTCCTCCAATCACCCACTCCTTCTGAATAAGGCTCTGAAACCCTGACTTTGTTCTGCTGTATGAATCCATCATCACTTGAACCAGACTCGAGATTACACAGCACAGATCAGTAGCACTCTCTTCTACAAAGGAGAACACAAACCACATTCTACACTAAGCCATTCCTCAAACATTATGTAAGAAAGCAAAGCATTGCCATGTTCACATAAACAAAATTGTATTTCAGGATCAGAGCAGCACAGACACATTTGCAAGTCAGAGAGAAGTTAATCCATTATTCCAAATTTAGGGTTACTTACATGCTTATCCTGGGAAAATACTTTGACAATAAAACCTGCAAGCCCCAACCCTTCCTACTGTAACTTGCCTGTGCCCTTCAGTCTCCCACAAGCACACACTGCCCCTCAGCCCAGCCATTTGTCCTTACCCTTCCCACCCTCCACACCTCTTTTCACAAGGTGTGAAACTGACTCCTCATGCAACATACAGTCTTCATCTTTCCAAAAGGTGCCTCCAGAAAACCTCTTGCCTGTGTTAGGTTTCTCAAATGGCAATATGTGTGAAAAACTCAACTAAATTACCAATCCAGGAGTCACTTAATGGTTAACTTGAGATTTGGTTTTACATGTGATTACTCAGTCTAGAAAATAAACTGCTCAACATGTTTACAGTAAGTATATTATTCCATGTATTTTTAATAAAGAGTCTGCAGAATATCCAACATGTATCTATAAAGGTTATTTTTAAAAGTTTTCATATTACTGGTCCTTTGTGTGGATATGCTTCCCATGCCCCTTAAAGTACAGCAAAGGGCCTAAAAGACCTTAAATAAAATAAACTGGGAAACAGGAACGTTGCCTCTTCTTTATGCAAGACTCTCCTGCCAATTTATCAGCAGCTTTTTCATTCATACCCTGGAACTGTGCTTGCTATTTTCTTTAACTACAGGAAGCTTAATTTACTTCAAAATGAATTTAAACAAATCAATATATAGATTATCTCATTAAATTCTTACCTATAAGGAGAACATTTGTATGCTGTATTTCCAGACACTCAGCAACTTCTATGGCTTTCTTCAAGACCTTCCTGTTTTGGTACAGGAAAAGTTGAGTGAAGTTTCTTATATTAGTTTCCCCTAGACAGGGTTAGAATGCCATACTTGAAACTCCACTAGTTCCTTAAAACACAAAACCCATGCTCAGTTTGTGTAAACTAAGAACTGCTCAGCTTCAAGAACATTTTATCTGGCCATTAACCATGCATTTTCAGTTGCTATGATACACTACTTTATTCTGGATCAACAGCAGCCATCACACACTGAAGTATTACAATTCCTAGGAACCAGATCTTTTTCCTGGAAAGAGCCAATATCGCCAAATTTATGTTTTAACATACTACATTCTACATTTCTTCCAAAATCTGCTTTCAAGTGAGAGAGGGAAGGATGAGCAATCAGCTCTTGTAAACACTCAGACAAAAGTAATACAGAGAACATTATTACACAAGGAAAACTGAGTGGAATTACAGATCACATAAAACCAGATATAACATCTCGATCTAAATTTTCAAAAAGTTAGTTATTCTTAGCAAAAGCCCGTACACAAATTGGGATTCTTGCAATATCTTAGATCACTAATAGAAGCTGACAGTTTATTTCTTAAGTTTGGAATTGTCAGACTCTTCTTTGTTCTATCATCTAGACCATGTGACAAAGTATTCCTACTAACTACAAAAGCCAAGAACAGGCTGATCCAGGAACCGACTGGATCTAAGTACAGAAATGACCAGTCTCAAAACAACCTAAGGATAGGAACCCAGCCTGGCTTTTACTTTAAACTACCTGTGATCTTCATTATGTCAATGAATTTCTCAACATGTATGATCTTCACTAGAACCTTTCAATAAACATATTTAAATTCTGGATTAACAAGTTAATAATTATCAATATTTATGGATTGTTATTAAGACCAGAGGGACTGGAGTGGACAGCAGAAGCACTCCATGGTAATTAGCTGATTACAGAATAAACTGGCAGACAAAAGAGTTAGCACGAAGTAACACTGAAAACAAAACTCCTCAACATTCCACTACAACAACCCTCAAGTTAGCCAACACCATTCCAACACTTACTCACAGTGGACTGCTGAAAGAAGAAAAGAGAACTTAAGGAACAATCAGCACTAAATGGGGACAAAACTGAGAAGAAAAGTTGTTTTATAAATCTTTAGTGGACTAACATCTTGAACACTGCACCACATCTCATCCTAAAGGACATTACAGAAGTAGAGAGTACAGAGAAGAATGGCAAGGCCAGTCAGAGACATAGAATAGTTTCACACAAGAAACAAACAGGATTCTTGAGTTTGGAAAGAAGGTGACAGTGCAGGATGGAAATTACTGGATCTGTATTTTTAACTGGCTCTCTGAAAGAACTGTAATTGAAATGATCTCCTACTTCTCATATCCTTTAAAGGAGAACACTTAACACAAGTCTGCACTGTTAAAAACATGTCTCAAGTTGCAGAAATAAGATATATAAATGGGACCATAAATGGGGTCATAAGCCTGTCCTAATTTCTTTTCCTACTGGCAGTAAAGAATTCCATTTCAAGAAACTAGCTAGAAAACCCACTACAAATGCAATTGCCAACAGTTTGAAACACAGAAAGCTGAAGATACAACAAACCTGATTATTTCTAGCCAGTTTGTGCTCTCCAGTAATGAAAACCATTTCACATCAGTTGCCCAGAAGTCCGTACTGTTATCTGCAAAAAAAAAAAGAAAAACAAAAATTGGCTTGCTCACACATACACAATGACAATTAACAGTCATCCATTGAATATTCCTTCAGTTATGAACAGTATAAAGCAACCAATACTAAGGAGTGAGCAAATCTCAATCGCTATTAAAGTTGACACCTTATAACTAAATAAGGAAGTGAAGTAGTCCTACAAACACCAGCAGTTTTATAGCACCACAATCTTTTAGAAAAAGTAAGTTGGAGGTTCATGGCACTCAAACCGGGTAAATAAATCTACTGACAAAATGGAAAAGGAATAAAAAAGCTTAATCAGAGATGATGATCTACATAAAGCTTAACCTAAAGACACCGGATTTGAACATCATTACCGTCAGAACCAGAGATACCAATGGGTTTTAGAAGTAGATTATAAAAATTTATGGAATGCAAGACTACCTGAAAAATGTTTTAAACAGCTTTTGCTGCAACTAAAAAAAGGCATTAAAATACATAAACAGGGAGGCCAAGTTCAATACCACAAAGTCATTAAACACCTATGAATTTCACTAGGACTTTTGTAGGTTTTTTCAAATGCCACCTAAGTGTCCATTGCTTTTATTTCTATCAAAGCCAGTCAACAAATATTGGAAAGCTTTCACAAGCTGATATAATCAATTAAAACCAGAATATATTACATTTCCTGCATGAGATAAAGCTTGAAGCACAAGACCTAGAACAGTTCTACTAGTGAGAAACCAGATACACAAAATTCCCTCCTCCCCCATCCTTTCCAGAACAGCTTCAATTCCACAAGTTTCTGTGTAACTGCCCACCTCCCAGAGTCTCTCCAAACACTTCCAGTGTTCGATTCCAGCGCATTTACACACTACTGTCTCTGCTGGATCTTGTACCTACGCCTCAAATGCACAGGCATACACATGTTTTATTCCTGTAGCTGTGCTGCCTCCATGCACCAGAGCTACAGGAGTAGCACCTCATCCTGTTCATTGCGCAATTTAAACCCCTCTCCCAACTTCTTTCACCCTGGCCATAGAAATCAGTTCTCCACAAAAGCTCTGTTCCATTAGACATAGTTTTCACCAAATCCCATCACCCTCACAGTAAAGAAATTTTCCCCAATACCTGATCCAAAGCTGCCCATTTTCCCTTGTCCTGTCATTTCATGCTCTCATCTAAAGTCCCTCTCCAGTTCTTTTGTAACCCCTATAGGAACTGGAAGGTTTCATAAGGTCTCCCTGGAGCCTTCTCTTCTCCAGGCTGAACAATCCTAATTCTGTCAGCCTTTCCTTGCAGCAGAGCTGCTCCAGCCCTCTGATCCCCTTGGTGGCTCCTCTGTGCTGGCTCCAGCAGGTCCCTGTGGTTCCTGTGCTGGGAGCCCAGGGCTGGATGCAGTGCTCCAGGGGGGTCTCAGCAGAGCAGAGCAGAGGGGCAGAATCCCCTCCCTGCCCTGCTGCCCACGGGGCTCTGGGTGCAGCCCAGGACACGTTTGGCTCTCTGGGCTGGGAGTGCCATGGCCAGGACAAGCTGCCTATACCATATTAACAAGGCATGTACAGGGTAAAAGTAATGGTTCGTGCGTTCAGACTTTAAAATATGGTAATAAGGTAATAAATTTCTCTAAGATCTCAGTACTTCTGCAAAAGCTACCTGAATGTTTCTCTCAGACTGAAAGTCCATAGTGCTGTACTCAGTGAGGTACAGTCTACTGTCAAATCTTATTTAAAAAACTGCAAGAACACTTACTAGATGGCAGTTTCAACACATTCCCTTTTGCATGAATATAAGACAATGATGCAGTTACATCAATGAAATACACAGTATTTCATGACACAGGTTAAATGACTAAATTTAAGATTAGGTTTTTTTCCTACAGAGGGTGACTTGCCAGAAATCACATTAAAAAGTAATTATTTTTAGCTCTTAAGATTCACTGTCAATTTGACAGTGTATTCTAGACAAAATCTTCAGTGTGAAACTCAAATACCTTATATTAGAAGTTGAGTGGAGCTTTTTTCATCTCAAGAGGTGGGATCAAAGTGTTTCATGACAGCAAAATAGTTGGAAAGTCTCAGAAGAAAGAAGTCTGAAAGCCTAGATCACACTTTCACATGGCTCCCATTTGATTGCTTTCTAAAGGACAGAATTTAAGCAACTTCATATGTTTTGAGATGTGACTAGTGTGTAACAAAACCAAGGGCAAAAATTAATTAGCAGTGTCTACTCTTGACAGAGCCCAAAGGCTAAAAGTTTGGCCACAGAAGACTGAAAATCTTCCCCACAAACTTCATTCCAGTTAGTGTAATCCAACTAACACATAAGACTTCACTCCTTCAAAAGTAATTTTCAGATACTGTGACAGCTTAGCAAGAGGTGGTTAAGTCAAAGAACTACAAACCTTCATTCACATCCCAGATGTAAGCACAGTCTTCAGTTACATATTTTAAAACCTGCTTTTAACCACCCTCAAAAGAAGGCACCAATCAAGAAAATTACTGCACTCAGGAGTCACAGCACATCATTGTTATGCTTTGCTTTAAAGTCTGACTTACCTATCAAAAACAGCTGCTTGAATCTTGTGTACGCAGTCTGGATATCTTGCAGAGATGGAAGGCTGCTTGACAAGTCATCCATCCTCAGGAGCTCATAGGGAGGTTTGCTAATTGTCTTATAGATTCTAAATCAAACCATCAAGAGATTAAAGCTTTCTGCTTCACAAGTCAAATAATGCATCAACTATTATCTGAAGACAAAGTTAATAGGCATGATTTCTCAAAGAGCTGTAATACCAGAAGATAGACACTCTGGAAAGCTAGTGACCTCCATACATTTCTAAGTACCAATTGGAAGCTTGCCTACAGGCTTATAGCACTATTTGATGCTCTTAACCATGACACCAATAAAATTATACTTGTGCCTATTTGTGCCGTTATGAATATTACAAGCACTATTTGATTTTTACTACTGTTTCTTTAGTATTTTCTTCACTAGACACACCAAAATCACTTTACTAGGAGGCTACTAGAGCTGTATCCTAAAAGAAGAGATGGATAGAAACACCCAAAACTCCCAACAGAAGCTTAGAGTTTCTCTTGACTTTTGCCAACTAGATTCTGATGCCTAGCTGCTAGGTCTTCTAATGAAATACACAAGCAAAGGAAATTATTTGGGTTCAAACAAGACAATGTATCTTGCACTTCCCTATATATCTACAGTTTTTTTTGCCTTGAAGGAGAGGAAAAAATACCAGGGCCGGATGATGCTTTGGCTTGGACCCAGAGCATTGCCTCTCATTCAGGTTCCAGAGCTCAGATGAACATCAATGTAGTAACTACATCTGCTGTCACACTGTCCTCTCTATTATCAAGACCTGGGAAAAGTTGCTCTAACTCATATTTCAGAAGTGAGTTCTTGTGGGCAGTTTTCCAGGCAGGACAGAGTGCTTTGCTTCCTGCAAGCTATAGCACAGAAACCTGCTTTAGGTGAGAACTACAGGAGTCCACATCAGAAACATGAGTTACCAGACCTACTGGAAGATGCATCAGATCAGGGAAGTGAGGGAGAGCAGTTGCTGGCCAAATACAGTACTTTTTCTAAATGACACAGCAGAGAACTTAGGCTGCAAGATCAGGCTCTGAACAGCTTTTTTAAAAAGATAAACTGCTAATTGTAAACATCTGCTCTGTGCCTGAGTTCAGACTATTACTGTAATGGCACTTGAACACACCCTGATGGCCAATTTGTAGATGTATTTTAGATTCCAGTGATTAAAACACCAGTACTGCACAGCAAAGAAAAACAGCAATACTGCCCCAAGTTGAAATGGCCACAGAGAAGGGATCAAAACATCAGGGGATACCTTGTTACAGCTTACTGCTAGTTTTATTTACTTTCATATCACAAAATAGCATTAAAGACAGTTCTAAGTCATATAATCTTTCCCATTTCAGGGTAGAAATATTAGAGAACCTGCAGGAAGGACCACAACTCTTTCCTATGCAAGTATAATTAATTTTATAAACAAAAGCAGTTTTTAGAGCCCAGTCAAGCTGTTTTCTGTTTGTTCAGTGTGATTAACAGGTCTCCATCTATGAGGAGCAAGGAGCCAATGTTCAAAGCACAGATTGTACCTATGAGTCTGATCTAACAGATGGCTGCTGAGAGATGTTCTGTCTCAGACAAACAACAGTTTAAAAAAGCGCCAAAATTAAAGGGCAAAAAGTCATTGCCATAACAGACAGCTGTGCTTCTTCCCTCAAGTTAGACTTGTAATTTTTTAAACTGCTGAACTAAGTCAGTTCACTACCCCATGTGAAAAAGTGCTGTCTGCCTTCACACCTGAAAGCTGCAGTGGTGAATTGCTCAGGCTGCCTCAGACATTTTAGGACACCTTATCTCAAGTTATTTAAGAACATGAACATAACTCTCAGAAGGTGGCAGTGTCTTAAAAACTTACTTTGTAAATGCACATTTAGAGACAGAGTCTACATTTCTCTTACTTGCAAAACAATTAAGCCATTGAACCCTACAAGCTCTGCTACTGCTTTACCTAAAAAATACACCACAGGTAGTACAGATTCCTCAGAAATATATGTGTATGCAGCTCCACAGAAAAGCCCTTCGGTGAAGTTCCAACCCTGCACAAGTGATCAATGCCATTGCGTCAAGGGCTTTAACACATTCCACTACAGCAAACTACTTTCAGATACAGAACTTGTTTCCTGATGTGTGAAAGCTTAAAAGATATAGCATATATGGAAAAAAGAGAAGCAAGGTCCATACCAAGCAAAGTGTTGTGGACAGAATAGCTATTACTGACCCATCCAAGAAGGCTTTTTGCATTTGTGAAGTGCTGTCATCCTGTTCTTTGGGAAACGATGACATTTTGAGAAGAGCAGCACCGTTATGGCAAGACCAACACCAAATCTGCAGAAAGACATTTATCAGATGAGAATAATACGTAAATTCTCCTATACAAGGAATTTGCTCAAGTGATTGAGTGATTTCAAAATTTCTCTGTGCTTTTGCTTCATTGAATTTTTAGGGTATTTAATAACACCATCAACAGAAGCAAACTCCTACACCTGCACCAAAATTACATGCCTGAGTACACTGTGTTACCACTTGCAAGTTTTAAGTTAGAGTTTACACAGGCACAGGGAAATATAAAATGACAGATTATGCCAAAACATTACTTTCACAACTTCCCTCACAGGTAAAAAAAAAAATTGATCAAAAAGTCTATGGCCAAATTATGTTGGAATGTATGCCACAGCAAGATAGAACTTTAGTAGCAAGATACAACTGTAAGTAACTTATATATATATTATCCATCAGTTTCTCCACTATTGGATTTTTCTATTAGCTCAGCCTTGAGATAACTCACAATAAATGCACTGAAAATTTTCCATGTGAACTACGCATAAAGAGTAATCAAGGCATATGAAATAATGTATTAAACACTCCACAGCTAATTCAGATTGCATGGTCACAGCTATTTCTTGTGGCAAAACAACTCCTCAAAGCTTCTTACTTCCATTTACACCTAATTTCCTCATGAATACTTCTTATTCCTTGAAGCTCTCAAGATGATCTGTAAACTTGCACTGAAACAGGGAGTAAGAATCATTTTCATCAGGAATAAATGAAATGAAATCAGGAAGTAGAAGCTCTGCTACCAATTTACAGTGACCAAGAGTTGCACCTCAGAAGGATACAGAAACCTCACAATCATCAAGAGTGGAAAAAATTACTATACTGTCCTTCCATTACCTTCTATGACCAATTCAATATGGTCCAGTTATCTTGACACTACCTTCACAGAAACAGTTTGGAAATAATTAGAAGAGTTCTACAAGGCCTCTGAACAGTGGACAGCTACAGATGTTATCATCTATCTGCACATCTGTAAGGCCTTTTACATGGTTACACACAACACCCTTCTCTCAAACCTGGGGAGAGAGAGGTTTGATGCATGGACTGTTCAGGGATGAGGAACTGGTTGAATGGTCCCATCCAGAGAGGGACCATTATCAACTACCCAATGTCCAGATGGAAATCAGTGACAAGTGGTGTCCCTCAGGGGTCTGTACTAGGGCCAGGACTATTTAATACCTTTATCAATGACACAGTCAGTGAGATTAAGTGCACTCTCAAATTTCCATACAACACCAAGCTGAGGTGGTTTGATAGGATGCCATCCAGAGGGACCCAGACAAGCTCAAGAAGCAAGCCCATGGGAGCATCATGGGGTTTAACAAGGCCAAGTGCTGGTGCTGCCCCTGGGCTGGGACAGCCCCTGGTACCAGCCCAGGCTGGGCATGAGCAGCCCCAGAGCAGCCGTGCCCAGAAGGGCTTGGGGGTGCTGTGGGTGAGAGGCTGCACATGGCCCAGCCATGGCACTCCCAGCCCAGAGAGCCAAACGTGTCCTGGGCTGCACCCAGAGCCCCGTGGGCAGCAGGGCAGGGAGGGGATTCTGCCCCTCTGCTCTGCTGAGACCCACCTGGAGCACTGCATCCAGCCCTGGGCTCCCAGCACAGGAACCACAGGGACCTGCTGGAGCCAGCACAGAGCAGAGATATGAAAATGGTCACAGGGCTGCAGCACCTCTCCTGTGAGGAACAGCCGAGAGAATTGAGATTGTTCAGCCTGGAGAAAGCTTTGGGGAGATCTTTTTGTGGCATTTCATTACTTAAAGGGGACTTACAAGAAAGATGGGGAAAGACCTTTTAGTAGGTCTTCCTGCGATAGGACAAGGAGTAATGGTTTGAAACAAAAAGAGGGTAGATTTAGAACTACACATATGGAAGAAAATTTTTACAAGGAGGGTGCTGGAACACTGGATGGAACAGGATGTCCACAAAGGTGGTAGAAGCCCCAGAAACATTCAAGGCCAGGTTGGAGAGGGCTCTACAAAACCTGATGTAGGAGAAGATGCTTCGGGTCATTCCAGAGGGGGATTAGATGAGATCCTGTTTAAAGGTCCAAACTATTCTACAGTTCTGTGAACACAAGATGGAATAAAAAATCCCAAATATTTCTGTTTCTGTGTAAGAGCCAAAGTAATAGGTCTCTGATTCTCTGAGAAAAAGTCTGCCACACTACTTTGACTTTTAGGTAGGACAGTACAGTATCATCTCCTCCATGGACTAATTAACTGAAGAGCACAAAACGAACATGGTTTTCCTTGGCAAATTTAATGGACAAGCTTACACTAAGGTAAGACCTCACAAGTGAGATTACTTTGATCCTTGTTTCCATCTTCTCTGTCTTAGTGGTTCTTGAACTAAAAGGCAGGAAGCCAAACCCAGCTTGCTACAGGCTGCAAACCCAGTGTATTTAACTTCATTTTCTGTTAGACTTGTAGAACTAGTTTTTCAGTTGGGTTCCCTGACTTTGTAAAAATGCTGCATCATCACAGCCACAGCACTTACCAGAACCCAAGCCAGGTAACTGGAGGTGTTCAGCTACACCTTACATGCACCATCTTCACTTCAATATCCAAACAACATTTCAAGGCCTACATATTGCCCCAGCCAGATGCCACTCAGCACAGTCTCATGAAAAACAGGCTGATGGACAGACAGGCTAGTAATATATGTAGGCTATAAGACACTAATAAATGGGAACTGCGAACAGTAAATACATATTTTGCTGTTATGTATAGATTAAATATGTTTTGCTACATATTACACTGTTCAGTGAAATACAGTATCAAGCACTTCTCCTTTCAACATCTGTTTCCCTTCTGTAGATAACCAGGTATACATGTAAACTGTTAAAAAAAAGTTCTGAAAACAATATGCAGTAACATCTGAAATGTTAATTGAAATTATGCCATCTCAGTGAGAGTCTTACCCTCAGCCATACACATATACTTACAGGAATGCCTCTGCCTTCATACTTCAAGATATTCTCTTCAGAAATGCATATGGGAACAACAAAATACAAAGGCAGCCTAAGACAACAAAAAAAAGAGTTCCTTGGTCTCAAAAACTGAACAAAGAATAATCTCAAAGTTCCAACACTATTTATGTTCACAGTTCAGAGAGGGAATGTAAGTTGGCTTGTAAGTACTTAAACTCAATTTGAGTCTCCCAAGATAGAGTTCTAGAATAAATAGTTAAGACTCTAAAAATACTAGTTTCCAAGGTCTGTGAACTCTTTCAAGATTTGACTACGAAACAACAGTAGAAGTGTACAATGCCTTGTATACATCCTAAAGAACTCACCACTAAATGCTACTCTGCTAAACTGGCAGCCAAGCTCAGCTAAACTTTGCTAACCTTCTCCTAAAGGCAACACAACTTAACTTCCACCAGCACATTCTGCAGATTTACTTTAAACCAGTTACTTTTTCCCCATCCAGCCTGCTCCCAACAAAAGCAGTGAAAAATCTCCAGTGCCTGTAACTTGAAAATTTACCACAGTAAAAGTACAGCACTGAGAATGTGTCATCCTAACGAGTATGACAGAAATGTAGGTCCCAGACATATGTATTTTCTATTCTGCACTTCTAGATATACTCAAAGCTTGATTTAACCAAGGTCCTGAATAGTTGAAGTTAACCCTGCTTGAATCAGAGTTCGTGGAGGATCACCTCCTGAGATTACAAACAAAATTATTCCCTAAATAAAAATGGAAACCATATCCTAAAAAAACTCCCAAAAACCTGTATAATCCCCAGCATCAAGGGTAGCACTGATTTTCACACATCCAAAGCTCACTATTAACCAGGGCAATCTTACTTTTCAGAGACTCTGTAGCCTTCGTTGGTGGTCACTGCTTTGTATTTCACATTCCCTTTGGTCCGCTCCAGCTCATCACGCCAGTCCTCCAAGGTTTCAAACATCACAGTTTGGTTCCTCCCATCTGTCAGACATCAATAAAATTAACTTTGCAGACTGTCAGGAATTCTAACACAAAAACAATCCTAAGTAAACGTGTTAGTTAAGGTAAGCAAGCAGAACCTCTTGCGTACCAAAAATCTCAAGTCAAAGACAAAATGTCTTTGTACACCACACTGCCTCAGTCTGATCATCAACAACAGCAATATCAGATACAGCTGTTACTAATAACTCCAGGAACAGTTTCTCCTGCAGAAATGATTAATTTGTTACAGAACTTCCACACATCTGGGGCTGTCCTCACACCCAGCCTAAAATGCAGCAAATATCATTTTATAGTAATGCAGCTGACTGGCATCTAATCCTGTAGTTTAAATGCAGAATTAACAATCATACCAAAAACCTTTCTACAAAATTTCAGCATTTCATTTAAGGTTCATTTTTTTCCTCATGAATAGCTTTGCACTGAATAGAACATCTCAGCACTCAGTAAGAGCAGAAAATTAATTACAGCAATTCAGTCTCAATACTTTCAATTTGGACTCTTCCCTGTAATTCTACTTAGCCACCTCAGAAACAGTTAAGACAGCAGCTTGATTCAGCCTCAAATCTTGTATAATAACCATATAATTTATGGAATAATGTCAATTGTTTTAAGCACACATCCTAATTGACTAACATTCTACAATATCAGCTAAACCTGAAATAGCAAAGAGAGCTATAATTTCCATGGAAGACACAATGGTAACTTGAAACTTTTCACTGTAAGAAAAGGTAGATGAAAAATTTACAGCTCAGAACAGAACATTATTGATGAGCTCTTGGAAACAGGATTTTAGAGGTATCAGACTGTGAAAGGCATAAACAACAATTTCTACAGTCTATTTGTCTTATCCTGTACTAATTTTATGAAGAATGACACTGAGCCACTTACTACTGAACACAGCTATTAAAATAGGAAAGAATTATGGGACAGCACTTTGTTGTTGCTTTAAAGAGTAGGCTTCTCCCAGGCTCTGTCTCTACCTAGAACAGCCTGCAGTCTTTTCCATTGTTTGTAGCTGAAACAGAACACCAGTTTCAGGTGAAGCCTGCAGGAGCTACCTGAGCCAGCAAAGTGCCTTCCTTGCAGCACACAGGCAGCGTGCTCCTGGGCTGCATTTAGCAAAGCCAGCGTGTACCAGCTGAATGAAACCACCACTGCTCTCAGCTGGAGGACTGTGCCCAGCACTGGGCTCCTGTTTGAAGGCTCCTGGACCAGGTCCAGTGAAGGCCCTCTGTGATCATCAAAGGGCTCAAAACACCTGATATGAGGAGAGACAGAGCTGGGGTCACTCAGAAAAAGAGGGCTCAGGAGGGGCCAATCTCCTTGTGAATATAAACACTGGGGGTGGAGCAGGGGAGGAGAGTACAGAAGATGGATCCAGACTCAGGGACTCAACAAGAGGCAGTTATGCACAAGCTGAACTACAGCAAATCCCAAATACACATTACAGTAATGTTTTCCACTACAAGGAGGGTCAAACAATAAAACTGACTCTCCAGAAAGGCTGCGGAGTCTCAATACTTGGAGAAACTCAAAACCCAACTGGACATGACTCAGCTTGGTGCAGTTAACCCTACTCTGAAGAGGGGCATATGGACAAGAACATGACTAGATAATCTGCAGAGGCTTCTTCTAACCTCAATGATCCTGAAATTCCTTGACATATTTTGGTGTTTGACTAATACCTTGCATACATCAAAACCTTCCTCTGTGAAGGGAATTGGTGTTGCTGGTGCATTAAGGGTCAGGTTCCTAATTCGAAACACCACTATTATTTCCACTAAAGTCTGAATTACAGAATGCCAGAAAGTACACTGACAATTTTTTGTCCTGAATTTTGCAGCCTAATGTACTATTCAGCCAAGTTTGATCAAGTGGGAAGATTATGTAATAAGTCAGATATAAAGGGAAGTCAAACCTATGCTTTTCTTGCAATTGCCTGGAAGAAGCATATTGGTTGCAAATAAGAGCAAAAGGGGAAGTACTTTCTCATAGGATGCCACTGCAAATGCAGTAAGTTCAGAATTAAGAGCAGGAAGTCTAGTTCACAGCAGTTATACAGAAAAACCACACTGATAAAGCAAGCAAAGTATTTTCTAGATGAACCACGTGAAAAGCATTTGCACATTTTAATCACAATAAGTTTTCAATCTAGGGATGCTACTTTTGCTTGGAAAATTTCTGTGCAACTTCCTGAAGGACACTAAAACCAAAAGGAGACAATTTAGAGTTTTTTAGCAACATGCTTAACAATATACAACAAAAAAAAAAATTAATCTTTTGAAGCTACCTGCCAGCAGGACAAAGCCGTAAGTTGAGCACAAACTCAACTGTAGGCCTCCCAGACTGCTTAACAAACTAACTATGCCACAAACAGATCAAAAAAACCATTTACCTGTGTTGTTTGGAGCAGCTGATGCATAAGAGAAGAGAAACAAACGTTTAAGCAGCTTAGGAGTCTGGCTATGATGAATTATACCACTGACGATCTAAAAAAGGACCAAAAATTAACACCCAAACACACACCAAGACTGTCAGTGTAGGAAAAAAAAGGTTGTTTTATTTTTTTTTACCAACCCCTGCATCTAGGTTTTAAACAAAACTGATGGGTTCTATCCTCAACAGCTGAAACCTGACTTTTCAGAAAGTTTCTATGTTTTCTGCAAGACACTACCTACATCATCTAAGTAACATTACATATGTTTAACCTCCAGAACTACTCTTATTTAAATAAAGTTAGTTAACTAACTTTATTTAAATAAGTTAGCTAGTTTAGTTAGTTTAGTTTATTTAGTTAACTAACTTTAACTAAATAAAGTTAGTTGACTCTTAGTTTGAAGTAGAGACTAATTTCTCAAAAAACCCAAAGTTATCAGGAAAGTAACACTATACTGAAGTCTAAAATAAAATGAAATTATATGTCACAAACAGAACAGCTTCACAGCTTGTCCAAGTTAGAGCTAAGTTCCTGTAGCACTTCCAAGTTCCAGTTTTCTTTAAAGAGCCACAGCACCTGTCTTTTAACTGCTATGCACAATGAAATGTTTAATAAAAATCAATCTTTTACTTTCTGTCTTAGCTGGAAATTATCAGAAAACACTTCCAAGTTTCAGGGTGAATTTCATCCTTCCCTCATCCTCACAACACCCAGCATCAAGCCAAAGATAGAAAAGCAAATTAAGTTACTATACATACTCTTTTCACTTCCTCTTCTTTTGTGTATCTCAGGCAGAAATTAAATACTCTAAGGTCTTTACAGTAGATAATTAACGTCTCTGGGTATTTTCTTAGCTGTCCTGTTAGAAGTTTCTTTTTCTCATCATAAACTGCAAAATGAAAAAGAAAAGTAAACATCAAAAAGGGACTTGTAATGTTGATAAAGTTGTCCCCGACTGACTTTCCAGAATTCTCAAGAAACTAATTCAAGCCCAAGTTTTCTCAAGACAAAACAAGCATCCTACAACACAGGCTGACAAGCCACAACCTTTTCTTTTAAAACCCATCAAATTACTTCATACAAGGTAAATGGCAAATTTGCAGCAAACCAGCTGCTCAGTGGCTGTATTTATTCACATACTGATTGCACACCAAGTTTAAAGTTTCAAGACACATAAAGTAGTTTTACCCAAGGGGAAGTCCCCAGACATCTGAGATCATTCTAAGTTCCTTAATTTTTTTTTTAACCACCAGGAAGTCCCCAAGGCAAACCTCTGCTCATTTCTCTTTGAGGATGTACCATTTCACAACTTCAAGTGCTGCCAGCTCGGCCACTGGACATAAAACTAAAGTGTCTCATAACCATCACTGGTCTGCCTCAGTTCACTCTTTCAGAAATCTACACCACCATTTATAAACACACTGAATACTCATAACTAGTCCAGGAACAGGATTCTCAATAAAGCCTTCCCATACTTAAAATGATCCATCCCATTCTCATTTATCTTTTTTAGCAATACTGACACATCTCTAAGCTCCCATGCAAAGCGCTTGATTTAGCTGGCACTTAAAACCTCCTTTTGTATCTCCTTTAATATGGTGAAGATATCATGCATCTCATAAAGCAAAGCTCCCTTAGACAAACAAAAGGAATTGTTTGAGAATTTGGTACCTGTACTGCTATTGCTCAAATGAAACTAATATATCCATATTTATAGAAACAGCTGATACATTGGAAGATCATTGTCTCCCAAATTTAGGGACTTTTCACAGTGCACCCTCTGCTTTGAACAACTGCATTTTGAAGAAATCATTTTGTCTGTTCCAGTGGACAATTAATCAAATAAATTAAAATTAATTTGACAAGCTTGAGGGATAAGACTGGGTTCTGATAAATTTCTTATCTGTCATTTCATTATTAAAGATAACTGCAGCTGCTTTTTAACAATGTATTGGTTTTCTAAAAAGGATGTATTTGTACAAGGAGCACCAGCACTCCAAGTCCCCCAGGGGTAAAAGGCTGACTTACCTCCATATATTTGATCTACGCACTGCAGAGTTATGTCGTTTTCTCCTACAATCTTATTCTTAAATTGTGGCTCCTAAAAACACAAAGGAAAAAATAGAAACATCACACTACAGTACCACCTTCTGCCAAGTAAAGGCTTTCCATGCACTGTTTTACTATCAGCATTACTCCTTATTCCTAGAAGCTGTGAAAGGCAGGACACTGAAGAACAGTAATTAAAATGCAAGTTATACACACAATATAGCTTTATTTAAGTCTCAGCCATGCTTGAAATGTAGATACAGTTTTTACTTTTCAAATAGCTTCAAAGCATACATTTCTACTGAGAGTCACTTTTCAAACGAGAATCACTGCAGTAAACAGGAAATACAGTAGCTTCATGTAATCCAAGCCCTTTTATGACAAGTTTCCTTGCTATGGGAACCTGGCAGGAAACACAAAGCCTCTTAAAAGAACAAGTATCCCAAGAAGACACTAACATTAAAATCATATTTATGACTGGGTAAATTGAAGACACACACACACAACCCAACTACCTAATCTACTGTGTAACCAAACTTGAAGTGATTTGGAGTTCCCTTCACTTCTACCTTTCCATTAGTACAGTTAAAATTGGCATTTTTAGCAATGACACAATTAAACACTATTAGTTTCAATATTGTTACCAAAGAGCTGATGTACACTACATCAGCAAATTATATTTTACTGTGAAGAGAGTAAACCTTATTCAAGTTACTTCCAGGTCTGTGGTACTCTGAAGCAGGTAACTAATCCTGAACTTTTGTTAAAAGAAATATAGTTGACTTGGCATGTTATAAACCCAAGGTTTAAAGCCAGGAACAGAAGTTAGCATGGTTATTACCAACTTTCCCCAGATCACTTGAGATTTACGTCAAAAGATTCTGCAGCTTTTTCTTAATTAATTCCAGAAGGTCCAATAGCCTGTACATGGCTGCAGAAGCCTTAGTTTAATATTTAAACTTCATGAAATTTAACCCCAATAAACTTCTGACTACAATCAATGTGTGTCAAATCATATTATTCTCATTGTCTTTAACTGTCAAGATCACCTTGAATGTGGGAGCCACTGGACTCCCTTTTCACTTCTAATGCACCTAAATGGACTAAACTATTTCAATGCTTAAGCTCATCAAAAGCATGATGGCACTGTGGCATTACCATTCTCCTCTGACAGCTCAATTTGAGCACCTGAACCAAAGGAAAAAAGACTGAAATAATTTTTAAGATTTGGGGAGTTTTTAGCCTTCTCAGTGTTTGCAAGCTCAACAGCACTAGGTTTTAAAATCTTATCAGCACACATTGGACTTTGAATGAAATAATTCAGAGTTTCACTGAGCTACATAAATTTTCAGAGCATTTCCGCTGAGTATTAGCTTACTCAGTCTTGTACAGCCTGAAATGATTCTGCAGATGTAGCCCAAAGTCAAATCAGGCAGATGTTTTCCACCATCAGAAACATTCACACTTCCACAAATGCTACCAAGACAAAGAGTCAGAAATCAGCTTTAAACAATCTGTTGATTAGTTTTCAAAACAATGGGTTCTTTTAACTTAAACTTCACCAACTCACAAAATATAAAGAGTTATAAACTATGTCTAATCCAAGTGTCCACATAAATGCTTGCACTGCTGCTGCTTAAAATAGTCATTAGAGATTGAGAAAGGATCAAGCAGATGCAGACTAATTCAAGTTATTCTGCACCCATTAGCAAATTTTACACATTTATGCTCATTCAGCATCTTTATATAAGGGAAAGATTTATGCAGAGCCTGTTTAGTCATAATTAGAAGACTTGTTTTCTTACATTATCATCTGAAGCAAAATCATCATCAAGGAAAGAAATCTTAAAGTTTGTGCACACAAGTTTCCCATAAGTGCCACGATGTGACCCATCTTCTTGCACATACTTGCACACTGTGCTGGCTTCACAGAGCAGCAGTTCACCTGTGGAGAAGAAACACTGACCTGCAACATTAACTGACATTTACAATTTAATTATTTCAATTGTTATCTCAATCGCAGCAATAACTTCCTGGCAGTTTCTCAGAACTCTATGCCTAAAGATAGTTCATCACTGTTACACAAACCTACTACGAGGCAGCTCCTGGAATCAGCTGCAATCTTAGTGGTAATCTTAATCTCCCGGGTTACTAATGTTATTCCAGAAGGCCTGAACTGCAGATGTTTGGGAGTTCTGTAACCACAGGTACCTGTGTCATGGCCTACTCCAAATGGCAGAAAAATAGCAATAATTTGAGTGTGTAATTAAAAAAAAACAAAACCCAGCAAGAGCAGTTTATATAGTCAATACACAAGTAGAAAATTATTACAATCTTCCTTACTGTTAAACTTTAAGAATGCTGAAACATTTGAATTTGTTATTTCAAGTTCAATGTAGTTATTTTTTCATAGCTTTGACTATTTTACAGGTCCCAAGGCTATTTTGGAAGTCTCAAATACAGGTTTGCATAAATAATAGTCAATTAAGTTCTCTAATTAAGTTCTCTTACTAGAATTCACAGGAATTGAACTTCAAATTGAAAAAGTAAAGTTTTAATAGATGTGATCAGACAGACCCCTGGTCTTTCCTAAAAAGTGTAGGAAACCAAACAGAAGAACACTAATTTATTGTAAACTTTTACATGTATTTGGTCTTTCCTTATCTTAGAAAGTATTTTTAAATGAGAAGTAATTGTAAATTACAAAAGAAAATATTAACAGTACAAGAAACATTGGAAGGTCCAAGTAACTCACAGCAGAGACAAAGCCACTAGAAGGTAAATTTCTTCTAGTTCTTGTCTTCAGTTCCAAACAAACAAAACCCACCCAACTTTAACTTCTAAGAAACAGGGCAAACTCAAGTATTGACAGCTCTCCACATGCAGCTTCCCTGAGGATACTGACCTCAGTAAAAAATTTGTTTTTATAGAGCTTTTGACATCGCATGCAGATAGAGATGTTAAAAACATTTCAACCTGCATGAGTTTTTAAACCAACCCCTGTATTTACTACTTGTGACACTGATGTCACACTGAAGTGTTTGCTGCAGACATGGAAATATTTAAGTATCATTCATTAATCACTAATTTTTATTACTTAAAACTAGTAATATACAACAGTTACCTGGCAGTAAGTGAGGATTTACTTCCTTTTCTATGGGTTCCTTTATGTGTATTTCCTAAAGAAAGAAAGAGTAATTATTACTTTGCAAAGATCATACCTTCAACACATGCTGTAAAGAACTACACCTTCCCACTTTAATTCCTCACATCCTGGCAAATAAAAATTAAGGAAAAAAGCCTCCTAAATGAAAGGAGTTTATGCCTGCAATTTGATCTTCCCACTTAATGTCAGAAGTCTATTTGCTAAGTAATTGTTTTGACATCCACAGTGTCAGTTACATGCATTTGTGAACACACAAAAAATGCACTATTTGTGCAACAGACAGAAATAAAACATTACCAATATTTTTTAAGTTCTCTCAGCACACCTAAATGGATAAGCATAAACTTAGCATTACAGCACCATCTCCCAGCTCATTCGTAAGCTGTTCCATGTATGACTTGCTACTGTTTCTAATGTACCCTTCAGTTTTTCAAGTTTCATCCATGACTCCCTGTTTCTGATTTTTACATACATTTCAACCAAAGTACAAAAGTTACCTAAACAGCACTGACATGACTATATGGAAAGGTATTTTAGGATCTCAGAGCAAAGAGGTAAAACCTGATGACAGGAGATTCTTCAGTTTGGACACAAATTGCACAAAACAAACATATTAATTTCTCTGTGTCACTTACTCTAGCCTTTAGGCACTGACAGTTGGGCTAAAATCTCCAGCCAAAAGACTATTAAACTAGACGAGATGCTACACCCTTCCTGCTCAGCCTGTTCACAACTTCCTCCTCCAAGCCCAAATCACTTTGCATGCATTGGAGTCTTTCTGGAAAACCATTAGTTAACTGGAAACCCCCCCGGGGGGCACAGCAGTAAGCAAGCTAATTTTAGTTTGTCACCAGCATCCAGTCAGCTACTCCAATTCAAGGAAAAGAATCAAGAGAAGATATAAGCAATAATAATTTTGCTGGATTAAATACAGAGAAACAAAAGCCCCTGAGAGTACAAAAATAAACAGTCTCTGCCATTCATATAAACACTTGCACTCCATACTCAGAAGACCGAGAACTAAGTTTGAAGGCTGCACAGCAAAACCACCAGGAAACCACGTCATGAGAACAGCAGAGATGTTCAAGATAGGCCATAAAGAGAAGAAGGTTACAAAATGAAAGTAGTAGTGGTGTGAAGGAAGAAATCCATAACTACAGCAGACAGCTAATAGAGAAAACAAATCCCAGTTTGCTGCCTTTGCTGTCTAAGTGTGGATGCTGTAGCAGTAATATTATTCAAAGCTCAGGTTTGTCAGGTAAAAAGTAGCTAAAATGCTACTATGACGTGGGCTGAATACCTCTGCATTCACAGGAGGAATACATACACCTTTTCTTCCCCCAGCATGGTCTCTTCACCAATGGTAGCTTTAAACTAAATTTTGGGTTTACAAGTGCCTTTAATAGCTCTGCCTTGTACAATCACTCTTTGTGTCCAACTACATGCAACGCTCAGAAAACTGCATGCCAACAATCACGCCCACAGAACAGTAACAGTTATACCAGCCAGGTGCTTTTTCCAGCACCTCCGACTTTGGGAGATGCCAGAAAGAATGTAATAACTACTGTTCTGCACACACACTGTTTGTACTTACTGCCATGAGTACCACCTTATGCTAGTGTTGGAAGAACTGAACGGAAGAAAAAAAAAAAATCTGACCCCAAAGAAGTTCTTTGAGCTCACACCCATTTGTTAAAATGTAACGAAGCTTTTATAACGGGTTTCAACAGCAAATAATCTTGAACAAGTGGTTACAAGTTTTTGGTTGCAAATTAAAATTGGTTATCTTCTGAATGGAGTTAGAAGTTTAATCAAATTGCATCACAGCAGATCAGAGACCACAAACACTGAAATCACCTTGTAAAATCCACTTTCACTTTCTTGAAAAAAGCCTACAGACACTGAAGGGCTTATAATAGGCAGAATTCCTATAACACTCAACAGACTCCAAGAGTTAAGTCTCCAGAAGAGTTCTATTTGAAATTCAACATTTACATTCCCACAGTAAATCAATAAACATATTAAAGGTGGTTTTGATATATGTAGATAGAGACAGCTAAACTTCAAGCCATGAGTGCTGCTGAAGAATCCATGCTGCTGCACTCATTTTCCTAGGGAGGGTATGAAAATACATTAGATTTTACTACTGTCACATTTTGTATTTGCTCTTTTCAGTGAGAAGGTAAAGATCTGCAAGAAAAATTAACTCACCATGAGTCAGTTCAAGTTGTGTAGGAACACACACATAAATTCAGCTGCCATCTCCACTCTGTTTCAGTTTTATTTTTATAACGGATGCAAGTTTTGGGGCAACACAGATCTTACCACCAACTGAAGAGCCCGTTTCAATTCATTATGCTCAACGCCCCTTTAATCAGTCACACGTTCACAGTCACCCACACACTCCTTTATCCCTGGGTTTGTCTGACAACAGGGTGAGGTAATTTGATTGGTAAAATCAGCTGGGAAGTATGTACTTGTCCTACATTTGGTTTTATTGTTAGTGCCTATTGTTAGCAGAACTGGCTCATCAACAGGTCAGATGAGCACATAACCAAAGAAAGGGAAGCAGCAGAAGTAAGCCTGCCCATTTCTGCAAGCTACTGAACACATCTGGACATCAGAAATCTTCACCCTCTGACCATTTGTTGAGCTAAGCATGCAAGTACTTTCCTGATGTGACCACTGAAAGCCATGCAAACCTCTAGAAAGAGCCTTTCATCTATAGCTCCCCTGTTCTGAATGCCCCAAGAAGCATTTTGTCACTTCTTACTTAAGATACAAATGGGAAGCCCTACTACCAGCCACACTTAAAAGCAGTCACCCACAGGACACCATGCAAATGAGGAAAATTAATTTTGTTTCTGACATTTCTGATACAAGAACCTCAGCCTCTAAAGGCTTTAGACACTTCTTTCTAAGAGATGCTTCTCACCTGTGCACTTACCTTGTGCTATATTCCTTATTCCAGGTTCTCCAACTGTGGTAGGAAATATGGCAATGCCCTTTAATTATCAATTTTAACAGTAGAGAGTACCAAATTATGCCAAAACTTCAAGCTGACATGTCACACCAAATTAATTCATAATACATCCCCCTTTTTGCTAACAAAAAAAAATTCTTTCCTTAAGGAAAGTTCTCTTCTTGTTTTTTACCCAAATATAAGGAACAACTGCACAGTTTGCAATACCCAGGGACTACAGTCAACTCTCCTCTGAAAAAGTGTGTTTAAAGGGGTTAAAGTATTTTCCTCAAGCCTGTCTGGGGAGACAAGTCTTCCCCAAGTGCCGACAGCACAAGTGAGGCAAGAGTTTAGGGCAAGAAGGTTGAGTTAATATAACGTAACAGGGTCCTTATGGTTGGAGCAGGAAAGGAATCCCAAATTACTTCTGCTTTTTGTCCTACAGTGTCACCACAACTGAAAGCAATTCCTCTCACTCCACAGGAAGGTAAACAATTGTGTACTGGAAATAAGTAAAGAGAGAAAAACATGCCCTGCATGCCAGAATCCAGATATTGATAAGAGAATCTCTTTGGTGTTTTTTTCATCATCACTGACATACAGATATACGTATATGTACCTACTGGTACTGGATGTTGCTCATCAGCCCCAGCAGAGACACCATGCACACAGCCTGCTGCTTCAAACTAAACTCTGAACCTATCTCACCCCACAGGAATGCTTCCACTGATCCACAGCTGGACATTTGCACTACAGGTAATTCCACAAATTAAAAACAAAACTTACTAAATATGCTGAGAAAATATGTCTGAAAGATTCAAATAATGAAGGAACAAGTGATCACTTCCAGGCTATCAAGGGTACTGTCTGAAACATCTGACAGCTTTCAAAGCTGACAGCAAATAGCACTGCAAGAACACTGAACACTTTGATGCTTTTATATAGTTTTCCACAAGTAAGTTCTGCGCAGGGAAGACCTACATCCTGGTGAGGTTTGCTACGAGCCTCTGGTTTTTTTGTGTTTGCTTCACTAAAAAGATGGGTGAGATAAAGATAAATATATACTTAAGAAAGCTACCAGTTGTGAAAGTCAAACTGTGTACTAAAAGACCTGCAAATCAGTTGTGGTGCTCCAACAAGTGAATACAGTGCTCCTGACTAAAATAAACTTTGGTGGAACAGCTCCACTCAAACTCCATGCAAAAGAGGAAACACCCATGCAAATGCTGAGTATCTACTTTGCATCCAGAAACAAACCACATTACATACCTGGTACCTTCTGAAGGACTCTTTGTTGGCCAAACAAGCCTAATCCCATGTTGTATGCCATACAACCCACAGCACATGCTTACTACACTTGAATAACATTGCTGAGAATAACCTCTAACTGCTTGTTTTCCTTCCTTTCACAGCTGCCTCATCCAGAAGTCTATTAGATCATAGCATGTGTTTTCCCCAACTGTTTCATCTCTTGTCCTTTCCTCTTTCCTTACATTGTCCTGTCCATCTCCTCTGACATCAACACCTGGTTTCCCCCATGTCAGCCCAGCTGTCCACCAACTCTATTCCTTATTTCCCCTTTCAACTCCACCACCCCAGTTCTGAAGGAGGGACATATGCTTTTAAGACTGATCACAATACCGTACCGGGATTTACAAGGAAGAAGTATTCACAGTGCTTATGAGCTAAGAACAGTGCAGGATCTGAGAGACAAAGCACATGAGGCATGGAAGTTACCCTCAGCAGTTTGTGGTGTAGTCCAGATTTCAGAGACAAGCAGCATGAAGCAGAAGAACTTCTTCCATAGCTTAAAGGCTAACACAGGAAAAAACATCCCATAAGAATGAATATGAAGGATTTAGCTTTAAAGAATGCATGGAAAAATACCAACTTGGAGCTTGAAATGAAATTTGAAATCTAATTTTTTATGCAAATTAAGTTTTTTTGGAAAATACAATCTAGCTTGTTTGATTTGTAAATAACTTCAGTTTTCAAAGTCTGAAAGAATTACAAATCATGAAGTAATTCACTGGTCCTTGTTTCACTGTCTCCACAGACACATATTCTAAGCCTGTGATCTGAAATGTCAAAACATTGACTTTATACCCTAGTATTCACCCCACTTCCTGCAGGGTAGCCAAGTCTGTCCTGAGGGGAAGTGTGTCATTAATATCAACATCCTACGGTCTCACTCTCAACAGACCACTGATTGATTTGCAGTTCCATACAGCAGAGCCTAACTAGGTTATATTTAGTCAGATGTTAAAAACACTGTTTTTCCAGACATTTTGGGGTTTCACAGCAAAAATTACTTCTGTTTCTTTAAAAAACAGCATTTTCTTTTCACTCCTTGCTTCCATCTGGTCATATATTAACAGGAATAGAGTTCCTGATTCATTTCATATTCAAATCAGCACACACAGCAGCTTAAAGCTGACTTCATTTTATTTTTCAGAATATTGCCTACTGTGTCCCTCAGGTATCTGAAAATGGGACTAAAACAAGGTGGGCCTAAACCAAAACTCAGCTCTACCTGTTAATTTCCCTATTGCAGGGCTCCCCTAACCTGGAAGCAGCAGTTTAAGGCCTTGAAACAGCTTCCCAAGCAAACCTGGGCGAGACCACAGAAGCTGGAGGCTGCACGCAAGGGAGGGCTACAGCAAACAGGACTCTACTGCTCTGAACTGCATAGTGGCTGATTGGAAATCTTGCCTCAGGCTGGAAGTGCAAAAATATTCAAGGCAAGGCTCTGCAAATGCATGGAGAAGTCCACCATTAACTCCAATCCTACACAGCTGAAATCTCAAACTGCTGTTTCCCACCTTCTGACATGGGCTGCCAGAGGAAGCATCACACCTGTTGCCAGTACTTCTTCCCTGAGCACCTGGAAGTTAAAATGCCTTGATGAAAGCTCCCAGTTAACCCAACTATGCTCCAGATAGAAGGAATCAGAATTTCCACTTTCCCAAAAGGAATTAGTTCCTTTTAAAACTCAACTACATGGAAGTTAACTTGCACAGGAAACCTGAGTTCACAAAGTTGTTTTTCTCTCACACAGCACTGTGAGAGATGCTCACTTCTGCTTACTTTAGGATATTTAATAAACATGCTTTTTCTAGACACCAAAACAGCCTCACAGGTTTCATCACATACCTAAAATTTTCTTTTTAATCCTCATAAAAGCCACTAAAGTCTTCAGTTTCCTGTGTAACCATTAAGGCAGTCAACAGCTGTCAACAGCAGAGTCAGACTTGCTTTACTTGCTAATCACATCAGACCTCAGTTTCACTGTGTCTTTGAAGGAACAAAAGGGACATCCATCCTATGGCAGAATTCACATCCATAACACAAACCTCCTGCTACAAGAGTAAATTAAATTCTTAAATTTAAGTGTAACATGTAAAAGCAGCAAGAACATGTAAAGAGTTAATGACACCAATGTCTACTGAATCAGGGTGTTTCATCAAGAGCCTCACCTTCCAGTGTTACACACTTTAGTTACTCTTCCTGCAGCCATCAGGATCATATTAGAAGCATTACATCATTGCACTTAAAATCAAATTAAAGTATTCTTTATTGTTTGCCATCTTGCTGCACTATGTATATATTTACTTGTGCTCTTTTCAACCAGCCGTTTTTTCTAGCAAGCTTTAGTCATACACCACACTTATTTAAATGGTGAAATGTCCTCCAGTAAGCCTAACAAATAAAGTTGTTTCCTTCAAAAAATCCAGTTCCCTGTATATTTGTATGAGGTACTTTCCAAAGGTGAAAAAGTGACCTCGTCAGGGATGTATTTCCTGACTCCAGAAACACTTGTACCTATCATTTCCATCTGCTTGCACTTGGAAATACAAGAACGAGATAAAACTTTCAAAGTAAACTGATGAAACTGCAAGACACAGGGTGTGAAAAACATGTAAAAACTGGATTTGCTATCACTAACTAAGGACATAAGTTTTAAATGCCACAGCTGAATTTGGCCATAACAACTCTGAATGTTCTTTCAGATCAAATGCAAAATAAAACCACCAGATTCACCAAGGTCCTATCAGTGACAGACTCTGCACTAACTAACAAGATCGACAAAAATCTTTTCCTTAAGAAGTTCTCAAGAGAATTAACAATTAAGAAGAATCAGGTTGACACAGATTACAAAGAGCTATGAGGGGAAAAATCCCAACACTTATGGCTAATAGCCATCAAATGCTTTTCCTAGAAAACAGCTGTTTACCAGGAATAAGAATGCTGGAATACAGAAAAACAATACTGACCTAATACCATGGGCTAACAAGATGACCTCAGTAAACTGAGTCTAAGGCAACTTTGATCAAACTGTCAACATAAGTTTCGACAAATAAGTGAACGGACAACAGGCAGAACAATACCAAAGATACACACAGAAATATACACACTCCCAAGAATTCAACACGGAGCTGTTAAGGAAGGATATCCAGCGCTTTCCATTGGCGGAACTGAGAGCAAGGAGCTCACCGACCAGAACGTGAAGTGATGCTGTTCAGGAACAATAAGAACAACAGGTTCGGAAAGTCCCACCTTACGGGCCGAACAGCCGCAGCCCCACACCTGGACGCGGCTTACAGAAACAACTCCGCTGACCACCCAGCTCTATTTTTTAAGCTCTTCTCCACGCCGCTCACCCTCGGGGCAGCCCAAGCAGGCTGAGCCCCGCAGTGCCCGGCGGCAGCCCCAGCCTAGCCCTGGCGCCCCGGCCCCGCTCCGCCCGCCCCGCGCCCCGAGCTCCCGGCCGGGGTGACCGAGCTGCCCGGCCCGCCCGCCCGGCCCCGCACCTCCGGGCTGATGTACGACACGAAGGACGGCTTGGACGCCCTGGCCCCGCCGCCCAACATGGCCCCGGCCCGCGGCGGCGGCTCCCAACGCTTGCCCCGAGCGGGGAGGCAGCGGAAGGAGCGATCCCCCAGCAGCGCGGCGACGCCGAGCTGCATCACAGAAGCGGCGCCGCCCATGCCCGCCCCCAGCCACGGCCCCGGCCGCGGCCCCGCTCGGCGCCGGCCATTTCTGGGCACCGCCTCCCAGCCGCACCCGCCCTCACGGGGCGTGACCCGCGCCCTCAGCGGCCGCGAGGGTCCGGGGTGCCCGGGTAATGTCCCGCAAATGCCCCGCGAATGCTCCGCACAGCTCTGCCCAGCTCTGCCCTCGGCCTGCGGGGCTGAGGACAGAGCCAACAGGGCTCTGGAGCCAACAGGGATCCCCTGCCGCTCTCTCAGTTTCGGGGTAACCACGTACCTTTCTGTGTACCTGCAGGGACCTCCCGCTCCTGGCCTGTTCCTTGACTCAGCCGTCGCTTCCACAGAGTCATAAAATCGCAGAATGGTTTGGGTTGTAAAGGACCTTAAAGCTCATCTGGATCCACTCCCCGGCTGTGGGCAGGGGCACCTTCTGCCAGGTTGCTCCAAGCCCCATCCAGCCGGGCCTTGAGCAGTGCCAAGGATGCGGCATCCCGAGCTTCTCTGGGCAACCTGTGCCACTGCCTTAACCCCCTCACAGCAGAGACTTTATTCCTAGCGTCGCATATAAACTTCGTTTAACTCATCTATTGCACTGTTTCTCACTCAGCTGCCAAATGCCTGTGTTGTATCTGTGCACACTCAAAGGCAACTCAGCATTAAGGAAAATCTAAACAAGGCATCGATATGCAGTGTTACTTTTGGCAGGAGAAGTGCAAGATAAATGACATAAAACACACTTTCCATTAAATAATCCTCAAAACCCTCTAAAATGTGACTGCTGATACTTCTTGATACCTCAAGAAGTCCTCAGCCCAATGCCTATTTAATGTGTTACAGCCACGGCCTCACTGGAATGTCATCTTTGAACACTGTATAATCAGAGCTGTAAATATACACCAGGTTTAACTGGTATGTAGTTTACTTTTAAAAGCCTCATTTTTATATGGATACAGAACAATGCAAATATTGTAAACGGCCTGTAGCAATGCCGCAAGACTACCCAGCAATTCAAATGGCAAATGGTAACCCAGGCGACAATTCGTGCAGAGTTGACTTTATGGAAATATTTTTACAAAAATAAAACATATTTTACAAACTCCAGTAGACTATAGGACGTGAATATCAACAGTTCCTTCAAACATTAGTGATAAGCACTTTCCCTATCATTTCCCCCCACTTTTTGTTTTAATACTTCACTTTATTTACCTTGCTCCAAACACAGACCTAGGAAAACTACAGCAGGAAGAAAAAAGGTTACATATTTATAAGACAGCATTTATAAAAGTTAAATAGAGGGACAGTTTCAATTCAGAAATAAAGCTATTTCCCTGTTTTCAGAGTCAAGGAATGAGAAGTCCTTTGGATTTAATCACCTTCTCTCTGGAAAAAAAGCTCAAAACAACCCAGAGATTAGCTTTCATTAATAGTTTTACAACAAAGGCTGTCCTGCTACGGGATCCCATGCTGAAGAGCTCTCATGTTTCTCTCCACAGCTGCTTCCACATCATTCCTTATGTTGCATCTGACCTCAGCTGCAAAGGTCAAAAGTACACCCCAGGGGATTCAACTGGTGCAAATCCAGGGTGAGGGGAAATGTGGGACACCACCTCTGTGCTCTCCAGTGTATTAAGTACTTAAAGAAAGAGAATTACATATTAAAAAAGTCTTTTAAAATACCTGAATTTAGAGCGGGAATAATGTGAATACCACAGCACGCCTTGAGGTTTACAGCACACTAAAGCAAAAATCAGCTACTTACTGACATAGCATTTTTCAAAGAGGAAGGGATGTTTTGACACTAGGCCAGAGTCTTAACTCTGATCGGAAGTGCAAAAGGAGCCTTAATTCCCACACAGCACATGGGAATTCATTCTTCATCTTGTCATGAAAAAAAGACATACGTAAAAAAAACTCTGAGTGAACTGCTACTCTCTATCAGCAAAATACCCACATGGTCAGCATGGGATGAACAGGGAGTGCTTCATCCTGGGGTTTGCTCTCCAGGATGCAAAATGTGTGGGAGTGAACCCATTGCAGAAGGGATTTGAAGCATTTTTGCTAGAATTTGGGGGCCAGATTTGGATCCCCCCCCCTTAGTTCGTCTTTTCTAGAATGGAAGAAATAAAGCTATTGCAAGTTAACTTAATTCAGAGAGAACATTAGCATCTGAAAGGGCCAACTGCAGCCCTGACTCTGTGCCCAGCAGATTACCAAGCACCAAGGGCTTCCATGTTCTTGCCTCTCCCCAGGAAGAATGATGTATTCTCACTTTCTAAAATCTGGAGCATCTGTGGGGAGTACTCACAAAAGCCAACTTCAACCCAGCCATCTCATCTTTGTAGATTCTTCCTGCAGACACTGGAGGGAAATAGGTTCCTTCTAAAGGCAATGGGGGCAGCAAGTAAATTCCTTGCTAAGAAACAGCCTCAAGAGACTGTCCAGTGCTCAGAGCACCTCAGGAATTCAGCTTGGCCAGGCTGAAGTTGGCCTTTCAAAGTGCCCTCCTTCCCCTCCTTGTCTTTACACTCCCCCCATAGTCCTCTACTGCCTCTCACCTATGTATTTACATACTTACCTTTTTGTCATTTTAATACAGTCCCTCTCTTCAGCATTGTCACTCTGTGTTGTTTCAAATTGCTCCATACCAATGAGGAAATGAGACAGTTCAATGATGTTCAATCATTTGGGATTGTTCTCTACACTCATAAAGACTTTTAAAATAAAATTTCTGCAACAAAGTGCAGTTCCTGGAGTGGTGTATTAATAGGATAGGTCTTCCCATGTTTCTTCTAAATGGGAAGTGTTATTCCACACTGCCAATGACTTCAATCCATTAAAAAGAAAAGGAGCTTATCAAATAATGGAATTTACTTTTGTTCAATTTTATATGTAAATCGATGACAGTCATGCAAATGTAGAACAGTAAAACTTTTTAAAGCCAAGTTCTAGATTGTCTGTAGTGGGTGAAGAATATATGGGATTTAACTGTTGCCATTTCATCCTGATACTTTTCTCTTTCTAGAAGTATAATCACAGAATTTAATGCTGCCTGCAGGAGGGAAACTCACAGACCAACTCTCCTCTTTCTATAAAGAGAGATTACTTTGTTTAAAAAATTCACAGGCTATTAATTTGAATAATTATTTGGGCTGAATTCTCAGCTGTGCCCAGGCTCGGTGGCACAACAGCTGATGGAAGGGAGACACAAGGAGCTGTTTGCAGCTTCTCTAGCAGTTTTCTTTCAGTGATCCTCTTAGCTGCAAGTGGTATCTCATATTTTTCTTTGTGGCAGTCCTCCTTGTCAGCATTTCCTTGGCTATGGGAAGTATCCTGGATAAGGATATCCTAGGCAGGATCTGGAGCACAGTTGGTGAAGATCACTAAACACAGCTCTTTGTATCACATTTCAGCTTTTCTGAGCCTGGGCCTTTGTAAATCTCAGTGCCTTGGAGAGTGCAAAGGTTGCTTGGATACTCAGGGGTTGCAGGCCAGTGTGTGTTGTGGGTGCTTTGGTATAGGTAGCACAGATGTAGTGAACTTTTAAAGCCATTCATGAGTGTTGAGCAAACTTGCATGACTATGTCTAGTTTCTACTCCCCATTTCCTCTTTTTGAAGAAAATAGAGGGAGTCTTTGCTGTGCTGCAGAGCTGCAAAGTCACAGGTGTGCATAACTCCCATTCCAGAGTGGTAAATCAGAGGGAGGAATCTGCAGCTGTGCTCCCCTTTGAACTCTCATCATGGCTCCTTTTAGTACATGCAACTCCAGTGGTGACAGAGGTAAAGAATTTGAAGTACCATCTCAAAAGAGGATCTCAAACAATTGCCATTTGTCAAGGTTTCCTGATCTTTCTATTCAGAAAATCTACCTGTGTGTACAGTTTGATTTTTTTTATTTTCACATTTTTGAGGGCCTTACCAGAGGAAGTGCACTTAGGTGTGCGAATCTGGGTATTTCTGGTGTACCCATACATTTACTCTGACATTTCACAGAGCCTTGCAGATGCTTGTGTGCAGCTCAGAAGGGAGGAGCTGTCCCAAAAGTGTTGGATTTACCTCGAGTCTACAGAGGTCTGCCATGCATGCTAGGTCTGATATTTGTACTGTTCAATTAAGTAACTCAGTTTAGGACTTTAGCATTTTAAGACAACACACTAAAGTGGCTGAAATCAGTATCCAAGGAATAAAGAAGACTTAAGATGAAGCTGGAAGTCAGATTACTGGGAGCTAGCAGGGAAAAAAATCAGAAATTAGGAATGTACTGAGATGTCCTCTGGGAGAAGGTCACCAAATCAGTCTACAGAGAGCCAGCAGCTACCTCTGCTTTATACAGGCTAAGAGAATTTTCTGTGAAAAGTCATGAATGTTAGCTTTCTACAAAATAAGACAATTCTAAAAGAAGAAAACAACAACAAAAACCATAAAAGGGGCCGGCTCTCAGATACTACTTCTAATATTGTACTCACAGTGACATTTTCATTTTCCAGTACTTTCAGTGTCCTTTGGGAATTATTTTCTGAACTTTGTTCAGATTGCAGTCGGTCACCTTTGCAATGAGCCCATTTTTGAAGTATATGGTCAGAGATTGTGTAATGCTGTCCTATATAAACCTTTTATGTTTTATTTTTGTTGCAGTGGTCTTTCTCTACTGGATGTTGTGTGATTAAATTTCTTAAGCAGTTTTCTACTCCTCATTCTGAGAACCTAATCACTCTGGGTAAAGGGAAAGCAGATCTACTCTAGCTCTCCTCAGCTGAAATATCTGGCTCTGTTTCCTGTTCCATCCCACGTCTCAGTCCTGAGACACTATGTGCCCAGTTCCTGCAGAAGGTGGTTGAATACATGCAATTTTTTTCTTAAGTAAAGCCATCTGGGATGTCCCATACGGCCACACATCGTGACTCAGATGGCAAACAGCACTTCCTTCAGGGGTAGCAATACAGACCAGTGCCATTTTGTGTCCATCCCTTAATTACTG